GACCTGTTTAGTGAAAATTACCCCAATCCAGAGGCATTTGGCTGCCTCTCATCCCCAGCCTTTGCTTCTGCTGCAGCCTCTGCCCTGCTTGCCCCACACCAACCTGCTGCTCTCCCCTGTGAGCCCATCCAGGACAACCATGGTGCTGGGCGCATTTTTGGGAAGCATCCTCCTGCACGGGTTGATGTCTGCGCAGGTTGGCTGCGGTGCCCACCCTCCTCTCTATGGGCTGGGATGCTCTCCGCAGCCTGCATCCCACTTCTCTTACTGCTGCTCTTGCTCCAGCGCTGCATGGACAGTCCTGCCAGGGCACACAGGGCATGCATGGCCCAGCACAGCCCAGGCAGGGTGCTGAGCTCTGGTACAGCCCCTGCCACAAGCCTCCCTGGGGCCCCATGCTGGTGCTGCTGGTGCTGACAAGGTGGGATGCTTCCCTGCACTTTTCCACACCTGGTGCCACTTGGCTGGCACACCAGCACTGGGCAATCAATGTGTTTTTGTCGAGGATCAGCTCTGCCCCAAGCTCAGGGGCTCCTCAGGGAAGCCTCCAGGCAGTTCTCCTCTTGTTGAGGCCTGGCAAATGCTTTTGGGAGTATGGTTCATATTGGTGCCTGGTCCCAGAGGGTGCCAGCAGCTGATCCAGGGTGGCCGGTCCCCGAGGGATGCTCCACACGTTGCCAGTTTCCCCAGCAGGCAAAGGCAGAGGATGGCTCCCTGCACCCAGGGCTGCCTTTGCTGCCAGACTTCTTAGCAAACCTCTGATGGCTCTACCCTGGCCATGACCCAAGTCAGAGAAAGCAACATCTCCTCCACTGTCATCTGCAGTACATTGAGAAAACGAGAGCTGATTAAAGTCCATCCCCTCCCAAGCACCGCTGGTCTCCAGCAAACTGCTGACATGACCTATTCAGCAGCACTGGTAGGAAGGTGGACTTTCCTCCCCTGCAGACACCCAGGTTGAGATGGGTTCAGGCTTGCTCAGCTTTGCACTTGCTGAGCTAAAATAAATGAAGTGTTTTAATTGCACAGGATGTGTTAATTTGATCATTTTTCCTTTTCCATCACCTGTTACAAGGTTGGCTCAGGCAGTGCCTTTCCTTGCAGACCCGCTCCTGCACTACACACCATGGGAGGATGCCAGAATGGGATGGAAACCAGCACAGCAGGAAGGGCTCCTCTGTGCCCACACCACCCCATCAACCTGAATTGGTTGGAAGGCCCCTGGAGCACCAAAACCTCTCCTGTTTCCTGAGGCAGGCAAGCTGCAAAGACCCATAGCCTCCCATTAACCTCCACCTGTGAGTACTTTCTAGAAGGCAGCCAAGAACAGTAAAACCTGGGAAATCTGCAAAATAAACAGCGATCAAACACAGAGACCTCAGCTCCTGCTCCAGAGGGCCAGTGCCAAGACACACAGATCATATCAGACTAATTTACAAACGGAAAACCACTCTAATTAGTGCTCAGGAAAACACTTTAATGAGAAGCACGCTGGTGCAAAAAGCAAGAGTGCCAAGAGGTCACTGCGTTCCTGAGTACTGGAAAAACAGGAAACGGGGCACAGCCCGCCCAGGCTGCAGCACCATTTTCTCCCTTTTTAAACTAATATTTCAAGTTATTAAGCCCAGAGCCTAATGTTCAGTGTAAGGGCAGAGACACTGGGCACAAGCAGCTCTGAGCATTGGCCAGCTCACACTGGGGAGGGTTGGGCAGATACCTCCCCTCTTTGGGGCATAGTGTAGGTTTTGTGACTGGAGATCTCCCCGGGGAAGGGGAGACCAGAAGCCCTGTCAATGAGACCAATGAGTCCTGTCTCACCGGTCGGTGGCTGTGACAGTGGCTGGTAACCATGGCAGCGGAGAGATTTCTGCAGCACAAAAGAGCCTCTTATCTGCAATGAGTAACTGGTCCAGCTGGTCTTCATTCCTCTGGTTATTGGTAAGACAGAAGCACAGCCACCTGGTGCTCACCTCCGGGTGAATCTGGACCATCCACTGCCCAGGAGGTAAAGGACGTTCCAGAATTATAGAATCCCAGACTGGTTTGGGTTGGAAGGGACCTTAAAGCTCATCCAGTTCCAGCCCCTGCCATGGGCAGGGACACCTTCCACTACACCTTGTTCCAAGCCCCTGTGTCCAACCTGGCCTTGAGCACTGCCAGGGATGGGGCAGCCCCAGCTTCTCTGGGCACCCTGTGCCAGCGCCTCAGCACCCTCACAGGGAAGAGCTTCTGCCTAAGAGCTCAGCTCAGTGTCCCCTCTATCAGGTTAAAGCCATTCCCCCTTGTCCTGTCCCTACAGGCCCTTGTCCAAAGCCCCTCTCCAGGTTTCTTGTTGCCCCCATAAAAATGTCATCCAGCCAGCGCTAAGCCTGCTGTTAATAAATGCTGGAGTGGGAGCCCATCAGGGTGTGTACTGCAGTGTGACCCCTTCCCAAATGGAAGTCTGGGTTTTTAACTCAGGCTGTTAGCTCCAGTGAGACTATCACTGCACTGGAAAGGAGCTGTGTGCTCAGGGCAGAGGAAACCAAACTCTTATTAGCTCGAATTTAGAGGAAGGCAAAAAGGGAATCAGGGGGATTTAATTGCAACTGTGATCAAGGCAGACCTACACAACACAAAAAGTATATGTAAGCAGAAGAAGTGGTTTACAGACAGTTCCCAGAATTAGGAGCGTGTCCTTCTGGTTAAGGTTTCCAGGTTTCAAAGGTTAAAGTGGTCGATTCTATTTCAAACTTTCTAATTAAACACCGTTTCACTGGACTTTCTGTTTATGCTGCAGTTTCTTTCTAGACCTGAGTCTAATCCCCAAACCTGGTTATTTGTTTTACTTTCCTCACAACCTTATCAGTGATTAACCTGCAATTGCTCTTAATCTTTTTAAGAGGTTGTTCTGCCTATAAATACAGAGAAGCTGCCTGCCCCATCTCTATCCAGAGGAAAACAACTTCCTCCACTGTCAGATGCCTGTGGTGGGTTATATTATCCCTTTTATAGGTTGATTGTTTAATCAGAGTTGTTTGTCTTCCCTCACCTCACACAGAACATTAAATCAGTATCACTATTCTGAAAGATGTAACAGCACAGGTCGCGAGGAATATGAATACACCCTCAGTATCAAAAATGTATAAAAGCATATATATAAATATATATAATAAACAGTATATATGAAGGCTCCAGTAAAGATGATTGTGATAGTGACTACATATGATAGTGAGACAAAACTTAACGCATTCATACAAATCCATCAACAGCATGCTCTTCTTCCATCAGCAGTTCTCTATTCCACTTCACTCAAAAGCAGCAAGAGCTAAAATATCGTTGCAGGAAAACCTGGTTTCTATGGCTATGGACCTCTGAGAGATCCGTTAATCAGAAATACAAGGCAGAAGGAGGACTGCAGTGCAGAACTTCCAGGGTGCTGGACTGGCAAGTGCTCGTGAGATCCCCCAAATACTCCATTAATATTATTAAAGCATCTCATATCATATCAATCCAACACTTAAAGATATTGAAGTGGAATGAGCAAAAGTTAATAAGAAGTGCAGTGAAGGTACATGGAACATTACCAAATCAATCAGGAACATTCCAAGGGCAGTGGAAGGAACAGACCTGTGATAAGTACTCCTGCAAGATATTTATAGGAACCAATCTGAAGGAAGCCCATGGCAAATATAGTAAAACTAAGAGAGGAATGGATTTATAAAATCCAGCAGAAAGCCAATTTATTGTGATCCCCCAAATAAGAGGCACTAAATGAGATGCCCATCTCCTCAGCCTGGCATTTCTACAGAGCACCCACAGCAAGTACACCTGAGCATGTCTCTGACCCAGGCTCCAACCCTGCCTTGACCTTAATTCTTACCTGGAGAATAATCTTCCTAAAGAACTAAAGCCATAAAGAGATAGCAGCAGAGGATAATTTCAAATCTCCCCACAGTTCCAGAATTACCAGTTGTGTACCCATTACCATCTAATGCTGCATGTTGAAAACCAAGACCTTCACACAACTATGTGCCATCTATGAAAGCCTTTTTTCCCCCTCCTTCTGGTGGAGTATTACAGTTCCATTGTAGTACTACAGTTCTAAGACTAACTAGCTTATTGGGAAACCTGTGAACTACACATGGGGACTTGCCTTGGCTCCACAGGGAGCAGAACGATGGGAAACAACTGGAGTTTTGAAATAAAGCCACAGTAAAAGCATGGTAATATACATGGTGTTTATTGTAGATGCAGTGAATTATAAAAGCCATTACAGCCTACTATATATTTAAACGCTTTTTCTAACCCACATCAAATCAGAACAGAAGCTCAACTTCTGCAAGTTTCCTAGTTTTATTATATAAATATTTATCTAGTGGGAGGGAAAAAAAAAAGCTTTGCATTTCGCACTGAAACCTTCTTTCGCAGGAAACCACTTGCAAATGACTGAGGATGAGGAATATTTAGGGAGGTTTGGGTGAGTCCAGGTTGTCCCCTGCAATATGAAGGCCAGTGATGGCTTCAGACCCTTCTGCAGTGTATTAGAGCTCATTACATTTGTTTAAAAGACAGCAAGCTAGCGTTAATTATCACTAACATATATTCTGGTTTCTTCCCACCACAGAAACCTATCTGGTTCCCAAGAGATGGCAAAAAATCACACAGCTTTTTAAGAGAATCCTGAAGGAGGTGAGGATCAGCCCCAGGTTGCTGGTGGGAACAGACATCACCCAATGCTTCACGGGCACCCTATCTGCCCCATGGCCGGACCTGTGGAACCTGCAGCACTGCTCACAGTGTGTGCTGGGAATTCCCTCAGCTGTGGCGCTGGGTCTGCTCCCTGTGGCAAAACCTGCCCCTGCTTCCCCTCCAGAAGGTGGAAACAGACTCCTCTTGACCGAGCCCGCGGTGCCAGTTGGAGATGTGGCCAGTGAAACCTTGGGGCGGATCTGCATCATCCCCATGCGTGGTGGCACTGTCTCACTTACCACTTCTTGCCACCTCTCAGCTCGCAGTTGGTGCTGGGTTTGAGGAAGATGGGGAACTGGTGGTGCTGGGGGAAGGCTGGACACCTTGAGCTGTCAGCTGGGCAAGCTGGCTGCTAACCGGGTGTTCACCTTCCCATCCAGCACCCTTGCGACAGTGCCTTCACAGGCGCCCTGTTGCAGTCAAGAGCAAGACCACAGCCTTGCTTCTTCATGGGTTCTCCTCAGGAAACGTGGCCAAGAGCCAACCAAGTGACCAGAAAGGCTGGACATTGGCTGCTGGAGATGTTGTAAATCACTGAGGTCCAGCAATGAGGCAGGGGACCACCTGCACACTTGTGCACTCTTGCTTGCACACTATGGGCTCTGACCTGACTCTAAAACACTGGCTGGGAGAGGAGAGCACACTCTGCACTGCACTTTCCTGACCCAGCTGTAAACTAACAGGGTTTCTCCTTTCCTGCACTCAGTTTATCCCTCCCAGCTGGTGCACCCATAGAAACTCCAGAAACACCTTCTCACACAGGACTGTGCTTTTCCATCCATGAAAGCTGCTCATCACATCTCTCCATAACAACCACCAGCTATGGAGAGCCCATCTCCTCTCCGGGATGAATGGTTGGTAGGAAATCCTCTTCCCAGCAGGAAACCCAAGGTAGTCTTGGCACCACATAGGGACCCTCAAGCATCTTGCGGTCCATGCACACAAGGATAGACCTCGGTGGTGTTGTGACAGTGGATCTGTCCTCAGCCTGTGAGCATAGTCCACATCCTTCTTGAATTAATCACTCTTCACCTGCTCCTGACTACCTCAAGCCCAAGAGAGAAACCTTGTTGTTTATCTCCCCTGCTTGCTTCCGACCAAGCTGTGACTCAGCTGTCAGAGGCAAAGAACTCTTCACGCTTCACCTGAATACTCATTAACTACCCAGAGCCATAAAAAGCAATTTCTTCAGGGCTCCCTCTCTGCAAGGCTGGATTTCAAAGCAAGAGGGCTCGCCTGAGACTTAATGGGAACATTCATAAAGATGCTCAGGTTTCAGAGCTCAGAAACCTTCTATGATTTTGGGTCATATGGCAGAGGGTTTTATCAACAGTGAGTGAAGGTCTAAGCTGAAAGAAGTGCAGATCCTACCTGCAGCACCTAGCGAAGCCTACAGCTACAGCTCCTAAGTCCTGCCCCAGGACCTGCTTGGTTCTCATTTATCTTTTTTTTCCTCTTCTTGCTCAGAAATCTCAGCAGCAAGGATCTCTTCATCTTCTTGTGCTGTGGAAATCACACGAATAGTGACTAAACTATCAGATGATTTAGAGAAGATTTCTTCTCCCAGGTGGGTGCGTGCTTTGTGGGAGGTGACGGGTGACCTCTGATGCACTGGTGATTTTGGTGGGGTCGGACTTAATCTGTAATCCTGTGATCCAAGGAAATAAAACAAACAATTAAGAGAAAGGCAGAATGAAGCTTACCAGACCCTTGTCCACTGCCACAGCTACATCAGTGATGTGCAAAGACAGTGTTTTGCGGAGCTTCACCACACTGGACCTCACATCAGGACGTCAGCTTGCTGCCAAGGATGATCTCTGAGACAAAGGCAGCTGGAGTCTATCCTGCACATCTTGAGGGATGAGTGCAGCAACGCTTTACTACACCTCCTGACCTTGTTTTGCTCATGAAGCATCTGGGGGGGCTGATTTACACAAAAGCTCGTCAGAAGTGCTGCTGTGAGCAGCCCTGTCCTAAGGCGTCCTTTGGGGAGGACCTGCAGAAACCTTATTAACAGATGTGCCGCAGAGAGGGGTGTCCTTCTAACAGGGTCCTCGTAAACCCCATTAGAAGGGTTAGCTCCTAATATGGGTCTTGTTGCCACTAGCACATGGAGCACACAGTGCCACTGTTCACTGCTGCCTTTGACTGGTTGTTAGTGCTGAGCACTCTTGTGTGAAGCCTCTGTAGAGATGCAGATATACTCAGCATCTACCTGGGTATTTACCAGGCCATGGCATGCTCCATATCAGCTGGTCTTTCATCTCCCTTTACACTCCAGGTAGTCTTCATAACTCCATGCTGACAAGAGCAACAATAAGGTCTGCATGGAGATACAGTCTCTTTTATGAGTTTAAAAGAGACATTTGGAAGAAAGGAGAGAAAAAAATAGAGCGGGGACATTTTCCCTTTTGGTTGGTTATGACAAACCAGCAAAGGGGTTTTTCAAGGCAGGTCCTGCAGAGCTGGCAGGCCAGTGTGTCTGCTGCTGGGGGCTCTGCTGCTGCTGTGCAGCCAAAGCTTTGCAAATATTGATTGGATGTCAAATATTACGGGTGCTGGATGCCAGCATCACCCCTGTCCCGCCAGCACATCAATTCCCTATGACTGGCTCTGTCTCTGCGGCACACAAGTATGTGCATCTGTGGCTATAGCTCAGCTGGAAATTAGGCTCAGGCTTAGCATAGCTGGGCAAAAAGTCAATGTATTTCCCTTCTGTGCTGCAAAACAACCCCCTGTGGGACAACAGCATTCTCCCAAAGCCATGTGTGAGATGCTGAACCACCCCTTCCTGTCTGCCCACACCACGCCAGACCCCAATAACCTGAGCTCACTCCTTTAAGGCACATTGACCACACTCATCCTCCCCATGCTGACCTGCGTCACCTGCATCGTCTTCAGCTCCCTCAGCCTCCAGCGGAGCTGTGCCAATGGCCCTTTGCCCCCCATCCTCCCTGCTGCAGCCAGAGCAGCCTGGAAGAGCTTTGGGGTGTCAGCTTTTGGGGGAATGATCAGCGAGTCTCCAGGGACTCCTTTCGCATCTTTGGGTTTATTGTTGCTTTTCAGCATTTTCCTACATGAAGGAAAAAGAGAGATGATTTCAGTCTGGGGATGTGTTATATTAGCTGGGTTTTATAATGCAGAAAAAGCAGGCTTTAAAAAAAAAAAAGTTACTTTTTATGACTTAGGAAGGCAGGACTAATAAATCTAAGTGGTTCTAAAAATATAAATTTTTATGTATATGAATAATTTAATATATCTTTTAATGAATGCACATTGTTTGTTCCTGAGTTGCACTCACTTTTAGAAGTGAATCATAGAATCACCATAGAATCAGACTGGTTTGGGTTGGAAGGGACCTTAAAGGTCATCATCCAGTTCCAGCCCCCTGCTATGGGCAGGGACCCCTTCCACTAGAGCAGGTTGCTCCAAGCCCCTGTGTCCAACCTGGCCTTGAACACTGCCAGGGATGGGGCAGCCACAGCTTCTCTGGGCACCCTGTGCCAGCGCCTCAGCACCTTCACAGGGAAGAACTTCTGCCTAAGAGCTCATCTCAGTGTCCCCTCTGTCAGGTTAAAGCCATTCCCCCTTGTCCTGTCCCTACGGGCCCTTGTCCAAAGCCCCTCTTCAGTAGCCTTGCAGCCCTTTTACGTATGAGAAGGGTGCTTTGCAGCAGGGCTAGGCTGGCTCTGAGCATCTCCAGGCTCCTTGCCGTGATGCAGCAGCTCCAGCCCACTTTCCACCTGGGACTCGTGCCTAATGCCTTCAGCAGGAGCTTTCCCAGGGCTTTGCACCCAGAGAGACCTTCCCTGTGATGCTGAAACCCCTTCTCTGTTTTACTTTGAAAACCCCATGGGCTAGAAAGCAGCAGCTCAACACGCACTTGGCTTTCTTCTTCAGCAGCTTCTGAGACTCTGGATAATGCACCAAAATCTCGTTCAAGTCCTTCTTGTCCAAAATGAAAAGGTTGGCGAAGCCATGAGCAATGACGTTTGCTGTTCGGCGATTGCCCCCTCCTGCTGCCAGCAAGCTGAGAGAGACACAATGAGATGTCAGTGCTGTTACTGAGCACAGCTTAAAGAAAATCTCCCTTTGCATGTCTCGATCCCTGTTTTTCAGAGGACTCAGGTTTAATTTTCTCCCCCAATGAAATACTGCAAGCCCAATTTTTAAACAGTGATGGAAACATTGGCAAGGAGACCCATATAAAAAAAGGATTTGCCTTTTTGAAGGTTTAAATATTGCCTTTTACACCAGTCTGGTGTCTGCTGGGCTGTACGGAGGCAACCTCTATCACTGAGCTATTGGTGCAGGACTTTACATGCTCAGGAAATGGGTGTATGGGGGGCTGGTTTAGTGAAATAGCTTTTCTTGTTTATTTTCCCACCCCTCCATAAACCTCTGCTTACTGTCACTAACTCTCCAGGCAGAAAACAGCACAAAAATACACAAGATCCAAGAAAACAAGCTGTAATCTATGTAGCAGACACTGCTCAGTGTTCATGGCTCTCAGTCACAGGGATTAACTATGGTGATGCTGCTCTCTCCACTTCCCACTTCCTCACCAGGGCCCACAAGCTGTATTCCCCTGGCTCCATGGGAATGCTTCACTCACCTTATCTCTCCAAACACGGATCCAGGTTTCAGAGTCACCAGCACAGTTTTGCCATCAGGTCCCCCCAGCACCTGCACATGTCCCGCCTGGATAATGTACATCTCACGGCCAATTTCTCCCTGCAATGAAGGTAGGTGCTGTGTGGGGTGCCCACAAACAGGGAGAATTTATGGGTGCCCTAACCTGTGTCTTGCTGGAAACCCCCACGACCATGCTGCCCTCTCCAAACTCTCCAAATGCTTTTTCCTGATGGTGCTTACTCCTGAGCATCCCCATCTGAGCATCCCAAAGTCTCCCCCTGCTCTCCCGGTGTTCATGGCTGCAGCAGAAGAGGTCAGACTTTGCACAAGACCAGCTGCAAAGGAGGATGTTTTTGCCCTGTGAAGGGGCTCAATGCCACGGTGATTGGCCAGGCCTGGCTTTCCCCCACTCTGCACTGCTCCTAGTGCAGGCTAGTGCTCTTGCACAGCCCCTCCATGACACCAGGGACTGGAAGACACTTGAGTATCTCATTACCTTCTTACACACGTAATCATTGGGCAGGTAGACCACGGACCTGAGCCGCTTCAGCATGTCGAAGATCATCTGCCTGTCGCAGCCCTGAGCAGAAACAAAGCCAGCAGCATGGTTACTGTGTGCCAGCATGGCAGGCTGTGCCAGGCACAACCCGCGCTGCAGGAGCTACCTGGAAGAGAGCCACTTTGCTCACGATGCTGTAGTTCACATCAATAGCGATGTCCAGCCTCATCTTGTCTGGCAGCTGCACCAGCAGCTCGGACTCATCTGTGGGAGGAAGCAGAACACTGGATCTTTCCCACACTTAATCCCAGATCATGCCCTTGGTGTGGCAGTGGGAAAGCAGCCCACGTTCTAGTGGCAGAGGACAGAGGCTTGCCCAGAAGGGTCTTCTCTGGCTTCTGCCAACCAAGCAACTTGCAGGTCTAAAGGCAGTGAGTGATGGAGAGCTGCCCTTCACATTATCTCTGCCATGATGGCTCTCAGAGACAGACCAATGAGTCCAAGCTGCATCTTTCTTGGCCAGGACAGTGGGTGCAGTGCTCCTGCCTGAACAGTTACAGGCTGCAGAGCAGAGACATCATGCAGAGCAGCTCTGCAGAGAAGAGCTTGGGGGTCTTGGGTGATGAGGAGCTCCCCATGACCCGGCTTCAGTGTGCGCTTGAGCCCAGATCCCCCAGTGGGAGATTTAGGTTAGATATAAGGACATTTTTCCCCTGTGAGGGTGGTGAGGCCCTGGCACAGGGTGCCCAGAGGAGCTGTGGCTGCCCCATCCCTGACAGTGTTCAAGGCCAGGGACTTGGAGCAACGTGGTCTAGTGGAAGGTGTCCCTGTCCTTAGCAGGGGATTGAAACTGAATGATTCTGTGATTTTATGATTTACTGTTCAGGTGAGCTTATGGGTTTGCTGTTAGACACTCTCTGGCCAGCAACTGCTAGTCACAGCCCACTCCCCAGGGACCAGCTGGTGGAATGCTGGACTTGGTGCTCTATGAGTGATGCACAACCTGACGGCAGCCTAGATACTATACAGGTGGGCATACAAGAATAAAACACGCCACCCCCTCCCCGTGACCACAGTGCTATTTGACAGTAACATTTCAGCTCTGTACAGCAACAGCAGTGCATGTGTGGGTGCTCAGAGTGGCTGGAGCTCACCTAGCATGCCTTGCGAATGCCATGTGTACTCATACCACGTCTTCACCCTGTTCTGAACAGTTCTGGGGATTTTGTAGAAGTTCATGTACTTAATGGTACTGTCCATGCAGCTCCGATAGTATGTTTGCCCTGCGGTAGCGGCACCGACCACATCTCTCATCTGGATGGGAGGAAGAGGTAGAAGAGATGTTTTAGTTGCTGTCACTTACCCGTCAGCCTGTTAAGCAATCTAGAGCATGTTTGCCGAGTCCTAACAGCATCTACCAAACCCTTTTTGTCTTCCACCAATGCTGAGCAGGTCCTCGATGGGGAAAACAAACCCAGAGATGCAAACCTGTGGACCAACCCCACCAAAACCTTCCCCAGTGGAGGCTGGGAGTCCCCAGGACTCCTGCTCACCTGCCCTATCATGACGGAGAAAGCAAAGACACCCGTGAAGTAGTTCAGCAGCTGGAAGACGATCTCAAACAGTGTCTTGGGGTCCGGCAGGCCCCCAATGGTGATGAGGGTTTTGACTGCCCAGTAGTAGCAGCGGATGTAGCTGGGAGGAAAAGAGGAGGCAGTTTTGAAGGTGTTTCTGGCACGAAGGCCTGTTTGTTCCCTCACTGCTGAGCTGACATCCTCTGGCCACGGCAAGCCAGAGCCTGCTGAGGGTAATTACGGGTGACAAGGGGAAAATCAAAGGGGCTGCAAACTCTCCACCACACCCACAGGTGCTTCTCAGATGCTACAGGAGCAGGAGCATGTAGGGACCCCTCCAGAAGCCTCAGAATGGGAGGCTCAGCTGCTCTGGCTACTCCCACTCTCTGCTCTTACAGATCCACCACCATAAACCAGCAACATTTTTTCAGCAATGTTTACACTTTTAGAAATAGGGGGGAAAAAAGAGTTTGTGAGCAACTTGTTGGCATGGGACTCCAGAGGTGTCAAGTGGAATCTTGATTCACTGGTCTTGGGCACTCCCCTGGATGCTATAGTTGCACTTAGAGATAGACACAGATGTGTATAGCATACCAAATAGCTGTATAACAGCAACATTAACATGTTGAGCTGAGTGCTTGAAGGGAAGGCAACACCCTTACTAGGGCTGCAGGGGTGACAGTCACTTGTCCCCACCTACACCCACACCTCGCCGTAAGTCTGTAATGCACTTGCCCATGCCTTTTCGCAGGAAACTCTAATTTGGATGTTACTCAGGATCATATCATGCCTGTGTTGCATAACAGTCAGTGTAGGTATTTGCTATGAGGTGGTGCTCAGCTCATGACCTAAGTGCTCTCCCTGTGGCACCCATCACCCACAACACAACAGACATTTAATACGTATATCTTGGAAATGCCATGGTGAGGGGTGGCCACTGTCCCTGTCTCACACCTGGGGATGAGAGCAATGGTCTTGTCTGAGGGCCTGACACATGGCACCAAGGACACAGAGCGTCAAGCCTGGTCAACAGAAACAGATCTGTCCCTCGCATCCTGCTCAGCCAGGGACCATTCTCTTGCTTCCCAGCATCAGGTTCCCAGTTTTTCAGTCTTTTCAACCTGCCACTGTCGCCTATCTCAGCCTAACTGCAGCCTCTTTCTCTTGCAGCATTGTATATTACTGCACATCCCTACCTTCCTGTCCCCATCATTCTCCCTGCCTCCACATCACCTGGCACCTCCAACCCGTTTCTTTGGCGTTTTTTATGAAGCCAGCTGCATCCTAACACCTCCCTTCTTACTCCAGCTCATGACAGCAACCTGTGCTATGTGAGTACCCAAGCCCTGGCTGGTACCTGTTTCCTTCCCCATCATAGACCCAGGTGGTAGAGCCCAGTCCTTCATAGGCTGATGCCCAGTAATAGAGGCAGGAGTTCACATGCAAGCTGTACAGTAAATAGGCTGTGGTCCGAATCACTCTGCAAAACAAACAAAAGAGAAGAGAACAGGAAGGGACAAGATATGGTGTTTGCTGGGAAACATGTCAGAACACCCCCAGCATCACAAGGAGCTTCTAACTGATGAGCTGAGTGCAGGAACCACAGAGCACTCAAGTGTGCAGCCCTGCTGCTCCCTCCTGCAGCACCACAGTTGCCAGAAAAAGCAGCTCGTCCACTGGTGGCTGCTTTTCACCATTAGCACCCCAGTCACAGTTGGGTCAGAGACAGGGAATCCTACCCACAGAGCTCCAGGACCCCACGTCCCGCCTGCATCAAGTAACACCTATATCAGCTAGGGACATCCAGGGGTAGCGGAAAAATAAATCAGGAACCCAGAATGGGTGCACACCAGAACAAGCCTTCTTTGCCAATAGCAAACAACTCCACAGTCTCTTCCTCCCTCTCTCCCCCTCACCTGTAGATATACGCCTTGGTCAGGATAGCCTCCAGGCGGTTGTTGAACTCGAAGAAGGCCATGTACTGGAGAAGGAAAACAGCATGCTTCAGCGTGCTCCATCTTCTTGTGACCCCCACCAGGAGAGTTAATCTCTGTAAGACCCCACTTCCCCTCCGTTTCCCTCCTGCAGCCCCTCTGCAGCTTGAACTGCCACAAACAGATTCGGTTCCATCTGAGTGCCCCTCTAAACATGTGAGCATGTTTTAGGATTGGAACAAAGTGTTTGACTCAACAAAGCCATTGCGACAAGACTTTCCATCCATTTTACAACCTTCTTGTGATCATCTATGAGTGCAGCAAGCCACAGCTTACCCCTATGAGCATGGTACTCCTTCACATCCACTGCAGCTGGTGTTCTGCCTGGCTTTGTAAGCTCAGACTTACCTTCAGACAGCGAGGAAAGCGCAGGAGTGGGTTGACACCAACTTTGAAGTAGAAGAAATCCAGGGGCAGGAGGCACACCATATCCATCTGAAACCCACACAAAGAGAGGAACCCCTGTGAGGACCCTCAGGCATGGTGGGGGGGAACTGCAAGACACTGTTCACACTGAAGATTCAGATTAGTATGTAAAATGATGTCGAACCTTAAAGCGTTGTGATTGCAGGTAGTTCTCCTTCATGGCCTTTTTATCACTCTGGTTGGGCAGAGGAAGGAGAGAGAGACCAAGGTTAATCATTGCTTACAGGAAGGAAAGTTGTGGCCAACATGGTCATGCCTGACTTTTCTCTTCTGCAACAGGGAAGATGCTCCCTTTGTGCCCAGGAAAGGGAGCAGAGCAAGAATAGCAGTAGAGGAAAGCCAGGCATGACCATCCTGGCCATGCCAAGAGAAGACCTGGCTGTATACCAGCTTCTCATCCCACCTTGGGACATCCCATGCTCATTTTGCATCCCAGAGGAAGTACATCACAGTGCTAGTGCCACAGAAATCAGATTTACAGGTCTGACCATTGCTGTGGGCCATGGGAAGGCTGTACCCTGAAGGTCTGGTTTTTCCCAGCTTATTTAATTGGATATGGAAGTGGATTCAGGGGCTTTCACTTATCTCTGGTGCGTGATCTGTGCATTCAGATTGCAATCGCTTTTGTCATGTTGCTAATGCATTCTGCCTAGCTGTGCTCCTTTGTATGAAACGCATTTATCATGCCATCTGCTCACGGTTAGCACCACACTGTTGGGAGCACTGCTCCATGGAGCAGCACACTCTAAGCATTCCTACCCAGGAATGGGGCTGCCATGGACCTCACATGCTTTGTAGATAGGCTGGTGTTGACTTCAGAGCATAAATATATGACTTTAGGGCAAAAAAATACTTCTAGCTTATCCACTACATGGCAGGAGAGATGCTTGCAGTCCTCCAAGGGTGGACAGAGCCCTGGTGGGAACGCTTGACTCAGAGATCATAGAGCAGCAGCACCCATGTTGCTCAGGCGATAAGGGTCTCCCCAGCCGGTCCCCAGCACTGGGATGCAGCCCTGCCACTCACTATTATATCTCCCCCCCGGACAAACTGCAGCCGGGTCTGAAAGACGAGGATGTCAAGCAGATAGATGAGGTCACAGAGGTAGTCGATGAACAGCCAGCAGTGGATGTTTGTTGGCGTCTGGTAGGGGAAAGCCCAGCGGACAGGGATCAGCCAGCAGTTCCAGTTCCAGGCCATGACAACGAAGAACAACCACAGCACATACATCAGATCTGTGGACAGCAATCACATTGCGATTAGTGGGGCCCATGTCCATCATCTATGGGAAACCACTACACAAAGGGCTTTTCATCCCCTTGTTCTGCCCCGAGTGCCACAGGGAAACCTGCAAGAGGTCTCTATTGAGTCTCCAAGTGAGCTGGGCTCTAGATGCAAAGTGAATACCACCAGCTGCAGAGCACACTGCTTTTTGTCACAAAGCCTGTTCTAACTTTGCTGAGTCAAGCAGGTTTTCTTTTGCTTTGCTCTTGACTGCCTTGCTTTTCGTTCCCTCCTCAGGCTGTGCTGAGCCCATGGCCACCTGCAGGAGCCTGAGAGCTGTGAAATGGTTGTGAAACAGCAAAGACCCTGGAAGGAGCTGAGCTCAGGGGTGTCCCCAGACAGGGGATTCTTCTGTTGTGATTTTTAGTTTTATTTTGGATGTCCACACCACAAGGACAGTGTTTGCCTGCTAAAAAGCCTGAAAAGCAGCAGAAAGCTGGTGCTCCTCCTCTGCCTGGTCATGCTCCTGATGCCCATAACTAAGGGGAAGCATTTAGGAAAGCCTGTGCCTTGCAGGGGAATTTAAGACTGGTTTTTAGCAGGCATTTTGTGAGTTGGTCCTTGCTTAGTTGACCTTCCTGCTCTACAGGGTCTCATCTCTCACACCTCCTCCCTTCCTCACCCTTTCTGGCTGCCCCACCAGCCCAGTGGCCGTGCTCCATCACTCACTCGTGAGCGGGTCAATGCTGCTGGGGAACTGGTAGTTCCTCAGGCGGTCCAGCCAGGGCCGGTACTTGAACGTGCAGCACAGCATCTCGCAGTAGTGCTCCTCCTCTACCACCTTCTCCCCCTCTGGCTGCCCTGCTGGGGGAGGGACCGGTGCTGCTGGCAGTGCTGGCTTGGCAGGAGCTGGGGGAGGACACACAGTTATTTGAAAGAGCAGAAACTCTTCTTGCTGCAATGTGTTAACCTGTTAACAAGGTTAAAACACAGCACGTGTGGGGACACAGCCCCACTCAAACTCACACGCCGTTGGGCTCTCTTCATCTGAGGTGATGTCGGGGTCGGTCAGCTTCTCCTTCACCTTCTCAGTCCTCTCCTTGAAGAGCCTCACCAGCTCCTGGAGCCGGTTGTTGATGACAGCGCTGCTCAGGCTCATGGCTGAACCGATGCGCTCAGGCAGGCTGTGGGCACACCACCAGGCGTCTCATGGAGGTAGGAAAAGTCAAGGGCAGGTTCATGGCCCGTTTTTAACCTACAGGACTCTGGTTTAGGATTTACCCATACTTATTTGGTTATTGTGTGATCAGAAGAACACAAGCTGAGGCAGTTTCAATAAGATACCATCAAACAGCACCACCCCAAACCTCATCCTTGCCCTCAGACGGACTTGGGAAGCACCAAGATCCCATGCTGCATTGCATTTGATTAGGAGAGGATGATTTTGGAAGAACTATGAGATGAAAATATGCACCAAGCCCCTGGATTTACAAACTGTATTGTCTCTTTTCAGCCTCTTTATTAAAACCAGGTTGTGAGTGCTCCATCTCTGGCAGTGTTCAAGGCCAGGTTGGATGGGGCTTGGAGCAACCTGGTCTAGTGGAAGGTGTCCCTGCCTGTGGCAGAGGGGATGGAACTGGATGAGCTTTAAGGTCCCTTCCAACCGAAACAATGCAAGGATTCCCTGATTCTGTGATTGATTCAGACCAGGATGCTCACCTAGCATGGCCAAGGACCACCACTAGGAGGAAGGACAGAAACAAGCCTGCTTGCTGTAGCTCCAGGCTAGTTAATTATGTTACGTGGCACAATGATTTCTTCTCAGGAGGAAAGGAAATCCCTGCCCTATGAGGAGGTATAGGCCTTCCCCAAGCCTTTGCTTCCCATAGAAGGTAGCTCTCTCCCTTTGGTATCCCATGACTCCTAGGGTCTTTGTTGCTTCCATCAGAGCACTGGGATCTGATCCCTGGGGCTGATGAGGAGCCTCTCGGCCCCACCACGCACCTGTCCTTCTGCTCCTCATCACAGCCCAGCAGTGCTTGGGTTGGGGACTGGCTCATGGGTCCCTCCTCCAGACCATCCTCAGGGGCCAGCAGCTTCCTCCTGTGGTCACAAACACAGCAGCTGAGGCTTAGTTTGTCCCCCACCCTCATCCAGGTCCTCTTCCTTCTCCTCCTCCCAGGTCTCATCTGTTTTCCACTTTCCCTTCTCCAACTGGGGTACTTTTCCCCCGTTTTTTGGCATTGCCTGAAGTAAATGAGAGCAAACCACTCTGCTCCTTTGCTGCTAAAGCTGTTTCTTCCTGGGCACCATGCAGACCATTTTTCAACCCATTCTGGGCACCCAGCAAGATGCACAGAAGGCAGGCACCAGTCTGTACGTGTCCCCTCTGCTGCACCATCACACCACTGTACTTCCAGAAGAGGGCAAGGGAAATGCAATAGCAGTAAGGTGGAGCAAGGAAGTGAAACCAGAAAAAAGAGAAGGTTCTGGGGACACTGCCTGGCTTTGAGCTGGCTCCCAAGGACCTGAAATCCCCAAGACAGAGTGAATTGCAGAGCAGCAGGTACATAACATGGACCCTTCAATTGCTGCTGATACCTCCAAAGCCAAGTGTAAAGACCAACTTGCTGAGAGCAGCTTCAAGAGGAGCCCTGTGAACACTGTCCTGCTGATGCTGAGGCAGTGGCAGCTGATGTCTTCCTGGAAGATGCATGCTAACACAGCCAGTGGCTCCCTTTGGTACAGACAGCTTTCAGGGACAACTTCCTTAACTATGGGTGACCAAAGTGATAGAAGGAAAAGGTGGATGTGAAGGTGACAATCATGGCAAAAACGTGGACTGCAGCCTGTAGCCAAGTCCAAAGTTGTAACTGCAACAACAGAAATTGTCTTCTACCAGCACAACAGTTGCTCTAAATTAACCAGGATCTCACTGATGCTGGTGCAAAACGGCTCAACGTACATGTGAAGCAGGAGCAAGCAGGATCCTGAGGGAGGTCATCCTGCCACCACAGGTCTGAAGAAAGCTGCATGCTATGAGCCTGCCCATCTCAAACCTCACCAGCTCCTGGGCATGCCCTGCTGGGAAGGGGATCAGATGAACAAGCCCAACCGCCGTGTCAAAGTACCCTCAGACGGTACTTTGAAGAGGTTCCCAAACCCACATAATTTAAGAGAAAAAGTCCTGCAAAGATCTGTGATGTTGTTAGGATATCATCCATCACCTCTCATTGGTGTCCAGCCACTCTCCCCCTAGCTCTGTCCCATTGAGGCATCATGCTGCCCCATTGCCCATCCTCATCCATAAGCAAGCCCAAGATGCCTACATTGACAGAGAGGGTAACGCCACCTCCCTCTTGGCCTCTGGCATGGCTCCCCATAGGCCAAAGAGCTCACGTGGTTGCCCTCTAAGTACATGCAAAGCTCTGTGTGTCAACATCCATGTGGGAAAAGATGCCTCTTTTTGCTTTGGATTAATGGATGCCCTTGGAAAGGTGTAAAAGACAGCAAACATCCCCAAGAAGGCAAGCGTTTTCCTTATGGTTCAGAAGGCTGAAATTTTACTTTCTGATATAGCAAAATAGGAGGTGATTGCTTTTAAACATCTCCAGCTCAAGGAAGGGACCTCCGGTGTTGCCTTGAGAGACGCTACCTAAAGGCACAGCAGAAAGTTTCATGTACTCATACATGTAATTGCAAATATACAACTGCTTTAAGAAACTGGTAGAAAATAGCACGAGAAAACTGAGGTGCTCCAAAAAATGGCTCTGTGGGGAACCATAGGAGCATGGAAAGTTTCTTTGAAGATCCAGCCTCCCCTCTGTCAGGTTAAAGCCATTCCCCCTTGTCCTGATCCTACAGGGCTTATCAAAAGTCTTTCTCCACCTTTCTTATAAGCCTTCCCTTACATATCAAAAGGCCACAATGAAACCTTGATAAAAGACTTGATAAAAAAGTATGTTAGAGACAGAATTGTACATAGATAAGTGGCTTTAAATAAACTAAGGTTGTGCCTTTGGGTTGCTGGACCCTGGGCTCCAAAGATGCCCAAGATGTCCTGGGATGCAGGACATGGGTGTTAATATGAATTGTCTATTTTCTGTGCTGGTTGAAGTCATAACAGAAAGCTCAGTACCTTGATCCTGATTCAGAGGTGGATGAGTATCTGCATCAGTGTCACACATCACAGGAGAGAGGACTTACACAGCCTCACCTGGTGGGCTTCTCCATCTCAGAATACTCTGCCCTATTCATCAATCCTCCACCTCTCTGAGCATCCTTGATCCGAAGGCACAAACCTAAAGGGGATAGGCTGCAAATTCTTCCAGGAAACAGAGAAGGTGATAAGTGTTGGGATTTATGATGAAGGCCCACAGGCAGCACACAGACCCTCTGCACTCTGAATCTGGGAGCACAGATGTGTGGGACAAAAATGGGATCTGACCACAGCCTGGGGATGGAGCCCACCTCCAAGAGGACACACAGACAGGGCTTACTGTCCACACCTGCCAGGAGCGGGTGGCTCCATTCAGTTGTACAAAAACTCCTGTACTGGCATTGTTGGGGGGTTAAAGCCCCGGGACCCATGGATGTGTCGGGGCAGAGCCATACCTGGGGGATGGTGGAGCCACTCTGGGCACCGCCAGCATGTTACCGGCAGTGGTGGGCACTGGTAAGTGGGTCCCATTGTCCTCCACAGTGTTGCTTCCACTGTCCACATTCTTGATGTCCACAGTGGGGTAATTACCTGGCCCATGGAGAAGGAAAATAATGGCAGGTGAGAAGGGTGCAGGCCCAGCACCCCCAAAGCCCATTGCCTCCATGGAGCTGCCTCCAAACCCCACAACATTCCAGAAGGCCTCTCCTTTCCCCCCATTCCCTTCTTGACTGGCACTCCTTTCTCCTAGTGCTTTGTAGCATTTCTCTCTCCCCCAGTGTTTAACACCATGAGAACTGCCACTTTCTCCCCTTCTGCTTTCCCAGCTTGTAGTGATTGTAACTACTCCGTTCAAGCATTGGGTTCCCATGGTTTGGAACACGATGGAGACAAGGATTACCAGCGGCAGGTGCCAGACAGGAACCCAGGATTTCCAGCTGCAAACCTCCCTCCCAAGGTCTGGAAACATCTCCAGGGTCTTCTGAACATAAACATATGGATCATGCAAGCTCCTAATTATATGAGCATTTGCTTTTCATGCAGAATAATGGACTATATAAATAAGCAGTTATGGTCTCTCTCTTTTGCAGAGGTAATATCTGCTTCTAACCTGCAGGGTTGGGTGTTTATAGTGGGGAAAAGAGAGATGCCAATAGCCTAAGGGAGAAAAAGTGCTGGGGGTTATCTTGGCCAGACCCCACAGCCAGCCAGACTGCAAAGTATCATCTCTTTTCTCAGCTATACAACAAAATGCAGTGAGCTTCTTCAGAATTCCTTCTGGGAGGTAGGGGGGTTCACCCATCTGAAAGACCCCACGCATCCCCTCCTGTCCCACACAATATGGGACCAGTGGATCAGAGCATGGCTCTACCAAATCACAGAGAAAAGACCTATTTGGGGTTCAAAGTTAAAATCATATTGCTTGTAAGGAAAAGCGGCGGAATTTGGCTCACTGATTAAAACAAGGCAAAGCAAAGCTACAGAAACAGAATCTGTACTTCTGGGTTAAGCCATGAAGAGCAAACCTCCATCCTGCTGTCCTCTTAGTAGGAGTGGGTTGCATGGACGCTAAGGAGAAAACTGCATGCAGCAGATCTTTAACCCTCTGCCAGCATTTCATTCAGGAGAATTTCTGGCCAAGCAAGTTCAAATGTATAGCATGTCATTTATGGGTATCTGCAAATGCTGTCTAGGGGTTAGCTGGAAAGGCACATAGTGATGAGGCAGAAGCAGAAAGAGCATCAATTCTATTATCCCGTCTCTGTAAGTGAGCTTTGACTATGTTTCTCCCCCAAAAAGCAGCTCCTACAGGAACACCTCCTTGCCCCCTCAAGCTACGCAAGCTCACCGCCAAAGCCAACATCTCTAATACCTAGGGGAGGCTGCTCCTCATGGCAAAAGTTGGGGTTCACAGCTGCAGCCTTGGGCTTGCTGGCGACAAAGGCTGGGGTGCGGGAGGCAGCGGTGGCTCGGTAGCTGGGGACATTGGGGAGCTGCTCTAGCTCAGCGCGGCCGGGAGGGGAGCAATGCCCCGCAGCCAGCGGCTTGTCGTGCACCAGCTGATCTAGCTCGACGTCTCGGGCACGCCTGGCCATGCTGCTAGGTGCCTAGGGGCTTCAAGCAAGGGACAAGGCATCTGAAGCTGCAATAAAACACAAAGTGGTTTGAGACAAGACGGTTATGTCAGGGGAGAGAGACACAGGGCTGTGGGAGGTTGTTGCTGCCTGCTGCTCACGGATGTGGGTGGCACAGGACAGTGATGGTGAGCATCCTACCATCAGCTTTTCTAGCACTGCTGCAAAGCAGGCGGTTCTGCAAGGTCTGCACGAGCAGAGGAATCTCAGGCTGTTCCAGGGCTCAGCTCAAGCCATCCCTTGTGTGACTTCCCTGATGTCAGTGGACTTGTGCCAGGACCTTCCTGTGCTCACTCAGGCCGTGACAGGAGTTCACCACCCCATTTTCATTACCAACCCCTTACCTCCTTACTATGAAAACACACTTTATGCCGCTGGTTACTTCCTAAATTGAATAAAGTGGTAGAGAAAATCCTTTTTATCCCCCTGTAAGTTTTCCAGCTGAAGGAGAAACTCTTCCTTCCCATCAGATATTGCTTAACCAAGACAAAGTACCACATAAGCATCAGCCTTCCAGAGCTGGCTCCAGCTGCTAACAACATTGCCATCACGCGGTGTCCATGTGATGCTTTCAGCCCATGGAAAGCCCTGATGCCCAGCACAGGTCATGCTGCAGGAGACTCAGCTGCCTGAGGGAGTGGTGGCATTTCCTCCTCACTGGGCATTGCATTGCCTGCTTCGAGTCATCCTAATTTGCCTTTATGCTGCTATATAATATACCTTCAGCATCGGTTTCAGCAGCTTCAGCTGTCTCCTCTTCCACCTTCAAAATGAAAAGATCCTTTTTAAGCATAGCAAGAGCTTATCTGTAAGAAAGCAGACTTTACATCTTGATTGTTGCCCCATATCTCCCTAACCCTCCCCCTGTCATTCTCAGGCCTCTCAGCTTGTTGTTCAGCACCACCATTCCAGGGTGAAAGCACCCCTCCCTTAGTGAACAGGTACTGCTGCTGCCTCAGGTTCAGAGGTGGTGATGTCCTGGTGGGAAACATTTCCAGGGCCCATTCCTATCCCTGTTCCTCACCAAGACACTGCATTCCTCCAGGCAAGCTGTGAGGCCTTGGCAAACACCAGGCAGCAAGGGCTTATTGCAGACCTGAGCCCAGGCAGGGGGTGATGCTGTACCTGTACAAAAGCAGCTTCGAGATCACTTATCTCTGCTTCTTCCAGCTGCTCAATCCTGAAGGCCTCCTCTTCAAAGTAGACTTCCTCCACATCCTCCTCAGCAGCGAGACAAGGTGACAGGAGCAGGGGTCTGGAAGGCATCAAGCAGAGACAAATGCCCTTGCTTCTGCCTTTTCCAAGGCTGGGCATGTTGCAGGTGAGGCATCCCATCCACGGGGATGATGCGTGGTGCTCCCAGTTTTGGGGGGCATCATTTGCAGGTGAGCAATACCACAGAAACCTTCATTTAATACAAAGACGGTACTCAAAATATTGCTGCTTAGGTTAGAACTTGGAAAACATAGTACATGGGAGACCAGGTGAGATGTGCGTACAGAGCAGGGCATTGCAGATGCATCAGGAAAGATCGCGTAGTCAGAAAAGTACAGGCAGTATGTTCCTCCTGCTGTGCAGAATGATTTCTCATATAATGAAGATCTGCCACATAAAAAGCCGAGAGCCTGATTTCAAGGCGGGACTGCCTTGCAAGCACCATCTGAACCCCAAGACTGCCTATGCAAGACACCACCAGGATACATAATCCTCATCTTCCTCCTGCAGCAAACACAGACCACAGCTCCACCATTCTGCAAAGGGGGCTCACAAGGTAGATTTCAGCAGTTTAATACAACAATAACTAAAAAAACCCCAAGCCTCATCTCACTGTTCTTTGTGTTTATCTCCTGATGTGCTCTTCCCTGGACAGAAACGTGAATCAGGGATCGGGGATAATGAAAATATCGTTAAGACAGCTAAATGCAGGAAAATTGAAAAACACAAGCATCTTCCTGCATCCTTTGCAGGCCCTAGATCAGAAGAGGTATGTAAACAAGCAGCGGCTCCTTTTCTCTTTTATCTCCATGCCTTGAAAAGCTGTTATTTTCCAAGGCCTTTTAAAAATCATTTTTAACAATCCCCCTCCCCCTTATTTTTATTTAAATATGTTCCCTTCAAATGCAATCACAAGCCTTTTATCCTAACCTAGAAAACCCGCCAGTGTCTCTCTTTTCCCACGAACACAGTGAGGGATGGAGCAGCCTCTCATTCACCCAGCAACTGAAGCTCAAGCATCTCCAGTGGAGCTCTAGGAACAGATTATGAAGAAACATAAAGATATGGGTTTAACACTGACTAGTTGAGAGTTTTCAGCTATTTCAGAGGAATTAACCGAGAATGATTCTGTAGCACTACATAACAAATCCCTAAATGTTTATCTCATCTGAAATCACAGTGAATCACTAAACTAAGTGGAAAGGTTTTTTGAAATACCATCTAGACAAAAGTCACTACCTACAACCACTGGCAATAACTGGGCTGTTTTCTACAACAGGAAAAATACTGTAAACTTATACCTGCTTGTATTAGGAAGCACTTGCAGACACAGCACATAATCCTATCTTTAAATTCATCTCCATAAACTCCATAATCATCCCGACTGCCCTGGACTAATGGATGTGGTTTTAAATCACATGGACCATCTCCAGGAGCTGGGTGCTCCCAAGGAAGGCACAAACCAGGTTCCTGCTCAGACCCACGGGAGGGGATGTCTGGGGCTATGGTTGCTACAGGTGATGTAGACAGAGCCTGTGTCACCAGGAGACACTCGCCTGGCACCAGGTGCTGTATTAGCAGCAAGCCCGGGGCAAGCCTGTTGGTGAAAGCATCCCTCCTGAATGCTGGAAACAACCCTCCTGATGCATCCATTCTGAACGCATCCCTCCTGGGTGCCCCTCCTAAACACATCCCTCCTGGATGCACCCCTTCTGAACACATCTCTCCTGGATGCATCCCTCCTTAACACGTCCCTGCTGTATGCATCCCTCCTAAACGCATTCCTTCTGAACACACAGCTCCTGAATGCATCCCTCCTCTCAAACACATCCCTCCCTAACGCACCCTTCCCAAACGCATCCCTCCTCCCAAACGCATCACTCCTCCCCAGTGCATCCCTCCCTAATTCACCCCTTCTGAAAACACATCTCCTGAACGCACCCGTCCTCCCGACAGCATCCCCAGTTCCCCCCCGAGGCTGGGTCGCTTCAGTCGTCATCGGGGTTTCAGCCTCTCCAGCTTGTGAATGCAGCTGAACAACTGCAGTCACATTCATCCCAACAAAGCCATCAAGGCAACAGGAGCCACTCACCCTGCACTGTCCTTCAACTCCTCCTCCTTTTTCTCCTCCTCCTCCTCCTCTTCCTCCCCATCCTGCTCCATTTCCTCTTCCTCCTCACCAGCACTCAGGGAGCACAACCACACCCTGAGAAGGAGAAACTCATCAGGTGAAATCCCAAAAGTGTGTCTGAACCTCGCAGGAGGAGCACTGCAGCACAGACATGCTCTCCCTGCACCCACCAGCCAGCATCTGCGGGGTGGGCACAGCTGGGTACTCTGGGCTTACAGTGCTCACAGCCCGTTAGTGTCTGCAGCCCAGTGCTGGGGGGAGAAAGAATGGAAGAAGTTTGGGAATGGAAAACCAGAGTCCTTGAGCCATCAAATTCCCCCTGCAGCATGGGGACAGGATATGCTTAGGGGTCACTTGTTGCTGATTTTGACCAAAACCTCACTGTATCAACAGCAAAATCCACCCTCCAGGACATGCTGTACTCCACAGCTTCACAAGCTCCTATACTAAAGGGAAAGAAGTCTGAAAAACACCTTTATAACCTGTCCAGTGTTTCTTGGTCTTCCAGGAATTCATGTTTTTCAGGACCAAAAGATATTGAGGAGCCTCCTGTTAATCCTGTCCTGCCTGACCCACCTGGACCAGTAGGTGATACTGGTCATCCTGGCCCTCGTGGTCCTTCAGGGGAGAAGGGACAGCCTGGCTGAGATGGTGTCCCTGGACCAGTTGCTCAGAAGGGTCAACCGGAGCAGAAGTTCTGGCTTGTGCTTAAGTGCAGTTGACCATTGCCCATGCTGGAGGTGGAGACTACTGCACATCTTCCCCCACAAGTGCTCTAAGCTCTGGGAGCACTTGGGGGGCTCCCAAGGCCTTTGGAAGCATGGATAGACACCTCTCATTCCCCTGCTGCAATGCAGCTTGGTCCCAGATTTGAAAACATTGCCCAACCCTTGGAAGGACCTTGACAGGGTTTTGGTTTGGAAGAAGTAGGATGAATTATATAGAGTTCTGTTTCCAAATGTCATGACAGTTGGATGCACAATTGATGGGAACAAGGTCCAAAATTTCAGCTCTTGGGCCCCCAGCACAAAAGGCATATGGAGCTGTTGGAACAAGTCCAGAGGAGGCCACAAGGATGTCCAGGGGCTGGATCGGCTCTGCCTGGAGACAGGCTGAAAGAGCTGGGCTTGTTCAGGCTGGAGAAGAGAAGGCTCCTGAAGGGGAGACCTTAGAGCAGCTCCAGAGCCTAAAGGGGCTGCAGGAAACCTGGAGAGGGGCTTTGGACAAGGGCCTGTAGGGACAGGACAAGGGGGAATGGCTTTAACCTGACAGAGGGGACACTGAGCTGAGCTCTTAGGCAGAAGCTCTTCCCTGTGAGGGTGCTGAGGCCCTGGCACAGGGTGCCCAGAGAAGCTGTGGCTGCCCCATCCCTGGCAGTGCTCAAGGCCAGGTTGGACACAGGGGCTTGGAGCAAGCTGCTCCAGTGGAAGGGGTCCCTGCCCGTGGCAGGGGTTGGAGCTGGATGAGATTTAAGGTCCCTTCCAACCCAAGCTGCACTGTGAGTCTGTGACTCTATGATCTTAAGAGCATCCTTTAGCTGTCCCCTGCAGCACAAAGTGAAGCATCGCATTCCCAGCTCTGCCACTGCCTGCCCCAACCCAAATCTCAGCACCAGAAGGGAAGGCCATTTGCTGAAACACGTTTTGGGTCCTTATGATGCCCCCCTCTTTGGAAAGAGGCACCTCAGCTGCCTGCTGTCAGCTCCACCACCAGTATTGGCAGGGAGGGGTACCCAGAGACATGCTCATCCCTTCCCATGGCCATGATGCTGGTGGTTAGAAAGCATGTACAGCTGCCCATCAACACCCTCTCCCTTTGTCTTCCTACCTATTTTCATCTTCCTGAGGTTCCTCCTGTATGGGGGGAAGGGGATGAGTATCTGCCACCATCTCAGTCTCAACATCCCAGGCCATCACCTCACACGTGGCTTCATTACTCCAGCCACCATCCATCTCTTCCAGGATGAGGTCTGTCTCCTTGGGCTCCTCAGGGACAATGTGTACTGAAACAAGAATGGGGGAAGGCAGGTGATGAAGTGAGCAGTACATTGTCAAGAGCCCAGTGGTAGAGCCAGGGCAGATCTCATGTTCTCCTTGCTCAACAGTGAGATGCTGCCACATGCCAGGACCTCTCAGTTCACACAGACCTGTGCAGCCGCAGTCCCTGGCATGTTACTGGGGAGGCTGCAAAGGGAAGAGCCCAGGCCTGACACATGATGAGCCCTCTCCATGTCCCAGGGGTACCCCTGCTACCACATCAGGCACACAGCGAAGACACAAGAGGAGGAAGCACATCGCTTACTGTAAAACGGGTTTATTTTGAGAACAAACCTTACATATCCACAGTGAAGCTCATAGCAAACACACAAATTCAACTACAGAAAGGCAGGAAACACACCTACGGCTGGCGCTGCACTGCATTTACCCACCCTACAGTGCCTATGCTGCCTTCAGCCTGTTCCCTGTAGATCCCCATTAATTAAAACACGGCACAGCAATCAGGGAGATGACTTTTAAAACATGCCATAACTTTGGAAACATATGAAAATGGAGCAAATACTAAAAGTGTAGCTTCATATCAGGAGGGTTCATTATAAACACATAAGATGGATCTCGGGTTGATTGTTGGCTCATGGCTCATTGTTACAGCTGCTTAGAGATGCAAAGAGGTGGTGGGAGACCTTATTGTGGCCTTTCAGTATGAACAGGGGATTGTACAAAAGATGGAGAAAGACTTATTACTAAACTTCGAAGGGACAGGACAAGGGGGAATGGCTTTAACCTGACAGAGGGGACACTGAGATGAGCTCTTAGGCAGAAGCTCTTCCCTGTGAGGGTGCTGAGGCCCTGGCACAGGGTGCCCAGAGAAGCTGTGGCTGCCCCATCCCTGGCAGTGCTCAAGGCCAGGTTGGATGAGGCTTGGAGCAACCTGGTCTGGTGGAAGGGGTCCCTGCCTGTGGCAGGGGTTGGAACTGGATCCTCCAACCCAAAGACCATTCTGTAATTCTAAGGTCTTTACTAAATCCTGGGGTGTAGGACCCTCATCCCACCCAGCCCAGAGGCCCTGCACATCTCTGGGCTGCTGGCAGCCCTGGGGACCCCTTCCCATGCCAGAACATTCCTGCTGCTGTGGTTAATGCTGCATCTGGGGAGCTGTGAGCTTCCGGAGCGCCTGCAGTTGAGGGTAAGGACAGTCTGGGGTAAGTTCTCCTACAAGGAGAGCTCAGGAAAAGGTTTTTAACCCTACCTACCCACCTAAAGATTAACCTCAGCACCTGCACTGGTGGCTGCAAACCAGAGCCCTTTCCACTCGTTGGGAGAAAACACTAAGTTAATGGGAGGAAAGCAGTAAGAGGCTGAGGAGAGCTTAAAGAGCTTTATGATGTTACACCTCAGAGGCAGCAGCCAACTGAAGGAAACCTGTGAGCTTCAGCTGGAGGTCTCAGGGGTGAATATTCACATGCTTGATGGGGTAGTGAGAGGACCAGGAGTGCTGGGAAGCTTCAGCAAGAGGCATCCTGCCTCCAAGTGGTGCATTTCTACCTTCCTATAAACTACAGCTCCAGCCTGATATACATCACCCTGCAAAAACAATAGCTCTGGTTCCCAGAGCCGAGAGGGAGGGAAGATGGGACAGTCCCAGGACCAGGGACACACAGCTAGCATCCCTGACCAGCCTCCATTCCTGCCACCCTGGCTGGGAAGGAGCTAGAGACCATTTGCTGATTGCCCTTTGCTTTTCCTCCCCAGCTGCACTCTTTCCTCAGGTTGATCTCAGTGGGTTGTGGGAAGGGCTGGCTGGCCATGGTCTTCGTTTTCCATTTGTTTCAGAGGCACTAAGCCCCTTTGCCTCCTGAAACAAAAGGAGAAGGAAAACATTAATGAGCTTGCTGGCAGTTTGGGCAGATCTACTGCTGACCAAATCTCTCCCTTCCTTGGGCACATCAAGATGCCTCTAAGCACCAAAGGGAGGTGAAAAACAGCCAGCTGCAAACAGATGTGTGACTGCCCTCATATGCCCATTGACTTTGCCTCTTCCCTAGGTAATGCTCTGGTCTCCAGCTTGTACAGACACGTGGAGAAATGCCTTCCCACAGGACTTCCCCCATGAGATCCCACCAAGTGGCTGCTGTCCTGGTGGGATCCACCTCCCGACACATCCCTGGGGGGATGCACAGCCTCTCTGTGCCGTGGCAGGTCCCTGCTCCCACCAGCAGCTCCCACAGCCCAGACAAAGGCAGATTCCCTGGCAGCACTTGTACAGGCCTGTGGGGCATCTCCCCTGCCCTGTGCATGGTGGCAGCCACGTCTCCTGCTGCTCTCAGTGTCCCATAAGGCAGCGGGTGCGGAGAGCCAGCCCCATCCGCCTGCAGGACCTGTGCTCATTCCCCACAAGCAGCAGTGAGAACCCCATGATGTTTTCCTACACCGTGCAGACTCGCATCCAACACCACTAATCACAGGATATTGTTTTCATGAGATATCTCCTTAGACATCACAGGCTTGGCAAACACCCGCCAGTACAACAACAACCATGCCAAAGGGAGTCATGAAGGCAGCGGGTTTGAATTTCCCTGTAATGCTTTGATCAAATCCCAGCAGTTTAGCAATCACCTTCCAGCACATCTTGAGGACAGGCACTGATAACGGCACTGATCTCAAAACCTGGGGCCCAAGCACGAAGAATGCTGCACTCAGAGACTCCCACAGCCTGAGCTTTGCCAAGTCTGAGCCACAACCCTGGATCTGCTCCCGCTTCCCAAGCAGCAACAGCTCCTTATGGATTCCTGGGGGGACTTGAGGGATCTCAGGGCTCCTGAGATGGCAGCCACAGTAGACTGGGGGACAATAACCTTCCCAATTACTGCAGCAAGCAAACCAGAACGGTGAGGTAGAGCAATCACTTACTTTCTTCCACGGGACTCAGAGTTGCTGCATCCATTCCCTGCCAGAAGGAAAAGGGAAACGTGAGAATTTTGGATTTAAATAATCCCATGTTTTTTCTCTAAACACCCCATTTTAAGTAAACGTGGACATTTTATGCTAAATATCCCATATGATTTCTTGGCGCATGTTGGTTAGCTTGGCCATGGGGACAAGCATCCCCACACATGATGGGACATGGTAGGAGCACATCAGTGAGCTTGTCTTGGTGCAAAGGAAGGAAAAGAGAGCATGCAAGGCTCCGGCTTCTCCTTAGAGCTGGACTGCAACCCAGTGAGGTGCCAGGACATGGGCACCACCCAGTGCTGCACGGGAAGGCAAGGAAACAGTAAAGAAAGCACAAACTATGGGAGCTTTCACTGCTGAGAAGCCAAATCCTGGTTTTCATTAATTAAGCGGGTTGTGGAGATTCGTTTTCTTGAAGGAGCTGTGGGACAGCCCGAACCACATCAGGTCCCTGCACTGATCTACTGGCATGTGCATGGCAGGGGACACCTTTCCTGCTGGGGACATGGTGTTCACATGCCCTCTACCTATCCAGCCCAGGCTGGTCAGCCTGGAGAAGAGAAGGCTGCGTGGAGACCTCATAGCAGCCTTCCAGTATCTGAAGGGGGGCTACAGGGATGCTGGGGAGGGACTCATCATTAGGGACTGTAGTGATAGGACAAGGGGTAATGGGTTAAAACTGAAACAGGGGAAGTTTAGATTGGATATAAGGAGGAAATTCTTTCCTGTAAGGGCGGTGAGGCACTGGAATGGGTTGCCCAGGGAGGTTGTGAATGCTCCATCCCTGGCAGTGTTCAAGGCCAGGTTGGACGAGGCCTTGGATGATATGGTTTAGAGCGAGGTGTCCCTGCCCATGGCAGGGGGGTTGGGACTGGATGATCTTAAGGTCCTTTCCAACCCTAACTATGCTATGATTCGATGGTTCTATACCTGTGCCTCCTGCTTCTCCCTTGTCACCGGCTGAGGCATCACCTTCTCCAGCCCCTGGACCAACCAGGCAAACACCCTGGTGACCAGAAACCACAGTTAGACCCGGGTGCCAGGCTCTCTGCTCCCACAGCACCATCCCGCTGGCCAGGTACCCACACAGAGCTGCTGCTGCAGTTACCTGCTGCCGTCCCCAGCCAGGGACCGAGGGACAAGGGTGGCCACTGGCTCAGGCTGCGTCTCAGCCACTGCTGGCTCCACTGCTGCCAGGGTGCTCTGGGTGGCTGAAACGTTGCTCTTTGGCTTTGCCTGGGGTTTAGTTCCTTTTGTGCCTGCTAAGGTTTATTGGGAAGGAGAAGGGGGACAGGCAATGCAGCAGTCATCTTGCAAATCATCGGGGAAGGGGAGCAGGTGAGGAAGGGTCACCTCCCCCATGGAAGGACAGGCTTGGGGGACCATCCTGAGAGCTTCTCCCCCAGGGATCCAGCCCTGAATGAGGACACGGGGTTTGGGGACAGAAGTGGTGTAGGGGCAGCACTGTGATGCTGGGACCCGGTGTGCCCCCACGCTGGGGCACGGGGATGGGGCAGCTCCGGGGCCAGTGCCTGCCTGCAGCCAGGGTCCAGAGTGTATCCTCTGAAAGGGCACCCAGGGAACTCACCTCCCTCTGCTGCTTCACACTTCTGCTCCTTCAGCTCCGGCTGTAGAGGGACAGAGGGACCAATGGACATGGCAAAGCACTGGATGTGGCCCCACATCACCCTGGGTGGGCATGTCCCCTACCCCAAGGGGACCCATGCGCACAGCCCCACACACCCTCCACTCTACTTTTGGCCCCATTTCCTTGACAAGGACCATTAAGCCCAGACACCTGACTGCTGGTACCAGCAGGTCCCAAACGGAGGGTCCCCCTGGATGCAGTCAGGCTGAGGAGCAGCAGGATGCACCCCAAGGCCTCTTTTTTGCTCTGCTCAATTCTCCATGGGTTTTATTCTCCAGGGTCCCATCCAGGGCATGTGGGATGAAGACAGGGAGCCCACTGCACTGTCACATCTGCCCAGCAGCCCCCCAGCCTCCTGCACTGTGCAGTGCTCACCTCCGGCTTCCTCAGCACCTCTGGCTGTGGCACCATCCTCTCGAAGCCCTGCACCAGCCAGTTGAGCACCCGCACTCCTGCCCTGCCAGAGGGGAGAGCAGCCATGGTTGGGGAGCTCATCCCATGCACCCCCTGCGTTCCCCCAACAGCCAGCCAGGGGACCCACCACTCCTCGGTGGTAGCATTCAAGCCAGACTCAGGCTCACAGTCGTCCAGCTTGTCATCCTCCGGGTCGAAGGGGATTATCTCTGCAAGGAGAGCAGTGCCATGGGCACAGGGGAGAGCCAGGACTTGCAGTGCCAGGAGCTGGTGGTTTCACCATCAGCTGGCGCAAGGGGACGGTAGTGCCAGCATCACTGACTGGGGAGGTGGGATGTGGGAGTCCCAGAATGGTGCCTGGGATGCTGCAAACTGCAGACCCCCGACTCTCCTTACCCAGAGCTTCCTCTTCCTCGTCCTTGAGGATCTGGACCTCTGTCTGAAAAGCCAAACAGACCATCATCCCCTGGCAGGCAAGGCGGGCTCATCCCAGAAGGGATGAAGGACACTCAGGGCAGATTTAGTGCTCCCAGTTAGCATTAGAGAGTGATGGGAAGGAGAAATGAAAGAAGAAAAGGTAAAAAGAGCTAGAAGCCCCAGGATGCCAGACAGTTGCCTGGAGCTGTCACCTACCTGATCAGGAACATCAATGCTTGTCTCAAAGCTCTTCCCAAGTGCCTGCAGCGTCCCTGGGGCTGGGACTGGCTGGGGAATCACCTTCTCCAGTCCCTGGGAGAGCCAGGAGAGCACACTGCTCCCCATGCTGCCAGGGAAGGGGCAAGTCAGGCTGAGAACCTTCATCCCAGGCATCCAGCCCCAAAACTGAAAGCCAAATCCCAAGCAAGCCATGCTGCACACTGGAGGATGCAATGTCAGTACCTCTCAAATACAGAGCCTTGGTCCTCAGGGACTGCAAATCCCACCTTCTTGTCCGTTTCTTCAACGGCAGCAGGAAAAAACCAAACCAAAAGCTCTCATCACCATTCCAGCAGCCCCTGGGATGCCAGCCAGGAGGGATCCATCCAGCAAAGGAATCCCCTGCACAAACCAGCGTGTTCCCCTGCATGGGGCCTTACCTTCAGTGCGTACGAAGTCAGCAGCATCCCTGGGGCCACCAGCCTTCCCTGTTGGTGCCTTCAACGTGAAAGGCAGAAGGTAGCAGAAAAAAAGGAAAGGAGACAGTGTCCCGTGGTCAAAGGTAGCTGCAAACCTCAGGGACTCCCCATTCTTCCTGCTGCAGTGGGGATGCATCCTGGCCCTCATCCCTTCTGTGGATGCTGCAGAAGCACCGGGCATCTCTCCACCATGCCCACAGAGTCCCTGCTACACCCCAGACTTGGATCCCCACTTACCTTAGGTGGCTCCAGATCCTGCTCTGGTGCTGGGGTTGGAGGGATCTCCTCCACCAGATGAGCACCTGGGGGCTGGGGGACCACCCGCTCGATCCAGCTCAGCATCCTGCTGGCTGTGGGCAGCAAGGAGGGGTTTCCAGTAGTGAGAGGCCAGCAGCAGTGAGGGAAAATGGGTGCACCAGCAGCTCACACTGTCCCCAGGGCAGCACAGCCTGCAAGTCCTGCTTGGGAAAGGTGGCACTGCAGTACAGCCAGACCTGCATCAAAAGAAGCGTGACCAGCAGGTCAGAGGAGGTGATCCTGCCCCTCTACTCTGCTCGTGAGACCCCATTTGGAGTACTGTGTGCAGTTCTGGTGTCCTCAATGTGAGAAGGACATGGAACTGTTGGAGCAAGCCCAGAGGATGCCACAAGAATGATCAGGGCCTGGCTGAGAAAGTTGTGACTGCAGTGATAGAACAAGGGGTGATGGGTTTAAACTGAAATGGGAGATTTAGGTTGGATATAAGGAAGAAGCTCTTCCCTGTGAGGGTGCTGAGGCCCTGACACAGGGTGCCCAGAGGAGCTGTGGCTGCCCCATCCCTGGCAGTGCTCAAGGCCAGGTTGGATGGGGCTTGGAACAATCTGCTCTAGTGGAAGGTGTCCCTGTCCATGGAGGGGGTAGAACTGTATGTTCTTTAAGGTCCTTTCTAACCCAAACCAGTCTGTGAGTCTGTGATTCAACCTTGACCCCTCACCGTGAAAAAAACATACCCTCAATGTTAATCTCACAGGCTCAGTTCATCTTGTGCTGTTCCTGAATGTAACTGCTCACTTAGGGTTGTTTTTCCATAGCCCTCCACAGCTGGCGTCACACAAGAAGTGCTCATGAAGCAGCAGCTGATCACAGAAGCAGTGATGCTCTGCTCAGAGCCCTCCACACTCCCCTTCTTTCATTTGAAGGATGGAAAGCAACAGTAATTTGAGCAGAATTTGTTTAGGAGCAAGTTTGAACATGTGCATCCACTCTGCTCTTCCCCTTTCAGCCATGGCCCGGAGACACGGCGGCTGCTGGGGCAGGAGAAGAGCAGGAGGGGCAGCCAGATACAGTGGTGTTGATGCGTAGGTAAAACTAAGATGCTGAACAGCAGGGATTCGGATGTCCAGGCTATGTTTGCTTGGCCCCTCTGGGTCTCCCACACCTCTTCTCCGTGCAGCTCTGGTCTGGGATGCAGCATGAGTGAGCAGAGTGATGCTGCATGTTGGGTCCAGGACTCTGCCTGGCTCAAATAGGGGATGTTTGCTGCTGCTGCCCCTCCAAAAGCCATGCTCAGCCCAAAATGCCTCCCAGAATCGTGCCACTCTACTCAATAAGCGGCTCAGTAACATCTGGGGCTGCCTCCACACTGCTGCCCATAGGAGATGCCAAAGAAGAGCAAGAGAAAGCAGGTCCCTGAGCTCCATCTACAGCCACGAGACTGCATGGGAGTTTTCATCCCGGGTTAACACATGGTGCCAGTCCCACATACGCAGCAGGATGATGGCTGGATGATGCTCAGAGCTTGGCTTTTTGCATTAACCCCTCACTCAGCACTTCAGGCATGCAGAAAACCCTCAGGTCCCTTGAGGTGGTTCACTGGGGGCTTCCCAAAGCCTGGCATTTGAAATCCTAATGAGCTGTTGTTCCCAGGCTCATGTATGATGTATGAGCTGATGTACAGCTCTTTGCTTGCCCCAGCCTTGTGCAGGGCCAGGAGCTGGGTAAGGATGCATCCAAAACATTGCCTCATGTGGCACCTCCAGCCCCTGGCACAGCACGGGCAGGCTCACCTCTATCAGAGACCCCCATGTCACCAGAGCAGGGTGGCTGTAAAACACCTCCCAGAGGCCTGATGATCAGAAATCAATTAACAAATTGCCTTTTACCTCCCACCTGGTACAGGGGATCAAGGAGCTGTGAATGCCCTAGGAACTGCAAAGAAAACCCAGCAGTGACACACGGCACAGCAGCGCTTCCATCTGTGTTTTGTGACCTTCACAGGTCCCAGAGAAGCCCAAACAAGTGCTGAGAAAACCCCCACACCAATCATCAGCTCTTCTCTCAACATAAAGTTATGCAGCTGTAAAAGCTTTGTCCGTGGCCTGGGGAGGAAAGTGGGGGACTGGTGCTGTTCCTCTGGCACACACCAACAACAGAGGGGCAGGAACATTTGTGGGTCCCCAGAAAACTGACTGCTGGAAGAAACAGGAATGAGCAGCCAGCATTTGCCTGTGATGACACCGAAGAGCAGGCAGCCACATGCAATACCCCACACTGCAGGCACAGGCGCATGCCACTGACTGTATGCAGCTCCATGGTGAAGGGCTTTAGTCTCCACCAGCACAAGCAGCACGTAGACCTGCCATCCTCACTTGGAGCAGGGAGCACCATGGCCTTTCCCTCCCCTCCAGCAGCAGATCAAACCCCTCCACATCTACCCCACTCCATCACCCTCACGGCATCACTCCTCATGGATCCATGTCCCTGCCACAGCTCATCCTCCAGCTCCATTTCAGACCACTGACCCCACTGTGATGTGTGACCCTGCAGAGACCCCAGCCATGTCCCTCACCTCCATCATTGTCACTTACCCCACTCACTTGCTGCTGCCTCCCACGAAGCCACTGCTGGGATCTACAGGCTCCTTGGCCACTGCAGCTCACTGCTGACCCCCCAGGCACACCCCAATCCTCTCAGGGCTCTGTGAGGATTAGCTCAGCGCTCCCTGCAAATGGGATTACTGGGACGCAGCTGTCTCGAATGCCCCAGCTCCCAGCAGCCAGCCTGGCTTTGGTGAAGGATAGTGCAAAGAAAAGCCAAAACTCAAGCAGGTTTGAGCATCCTCCACACTGCTGGAGCCACAAAACCTACCTCAGACACTCACCAGTTCAGCGCAAGCCCATCAGTGCTGTGGGGACACTGCCACCTCGCCCAGGGCCAGCTGCATGCAGGCAGGCACAGACGAGCTGCAGTGAGGCTGCTGAAACCCAAGGGTGATGTGCCCCAGGATGCTGAACTCGCTGCTCTGCACTCACCCCAGCACGGTGGCGGGAGGTAGAAGCACCAGGCTGAGCTAAGCCTCCCCTTGCTGAGCCTGCCAATTGCTGCTTGATCCGTTTACCTCCAGCCCTGCTGACTGCCAGCCTTTCCCACTGCCCTAATCCCAGCCGCGGTCATGCCCTGGAATCCTGGTTCTGGCACAGCTTTTCTGCTCAACATCCAGCCCCAGGTTGGCCAGAGCCCCCTGACCTGATTCCTCCTTCCTCAGCACAGCGGGAGTCCCCATCCCAGTGAGCAACAGATCACCTTCCTGCCTGGCCCCAGCCTGGCCCCTCTGCAGCTCTCATTCACAGCTAGGGAAACTGAAGCACGCAGCAGAGGTCCAGGCACACTGCACCTCATTCCCCACCTGCCAGGCCTGGGGAAGGAGCCTGAAAGGCATCACTGTGTTCCTAAAATACTGCTCACTCCGAAGCAGAGTGATGACTGCTTATAGGTCAGCACTGGACACTGACTTTACCAGCAGAAACACAAACCAAACGTGCTTACTGTGTTCTTCCAAGCCTCGTGGCTCCCAAAGCCATCACCCAGCCTTTGCTCCCCACGGCTCTGGCCAGCAGAGCTGCTCATGCCCAGCAGGAATCGGCAGCAAACCCCCATGGTGGCCAGACGATGAGCACAGGGCTCCTGTGCCGGGCCAGGCAGCTTGGATCCACACAGATTCCCCCTCCTCGCTCTCCTGAATGGTAGACTCAGACCCCAGCCCAGGGCTGGCAGGGTTTAATCTGTCAGCAGCTTCAGCTGCCCCAGTTGCCCCCCTCCAGGCTGTGGGGGCAAACTGTCTGCTCCACACTGTGGGATGGGTGCTGATGCCGCACCAGCACTGAGGGAGGCAGGAGAGCCTCAGCTCTGACAGCAGGACACTGGGGCTGCTGTGGAATGCCTTGAAAACCCCGGATCACCGTGAAAAACCCCACCTGTGAAGGGAGCGGGCTGGGCTGGCCCTGAAAGCACAACATGCAAGCTCCTGGGCAGCACCGAAGGCTCCTGGACAGGCATGGTGTTAAATGGACCTGCTGCACCCCTTGCAGGACCAGTGATGGAAGTGGCACAAGATCAATCCCGGCAGCCCTCACGGCACAGCCTGGCCCAGGTTCCACCTTGCAGGGGGCTGTGGAGGTCCCACCTGAGATGATAGTGCTGCCTAAAAGAGCAAAGGAACACAGGGGCAGCTTCAAGTCAACTTCTGCAGGCTCAGGCTCACGAAATCCTGCAGCAAGGGGTTAAAACCAAATCTGCATCCCCTCTGAGTGCGAAGATGCAAGTGGATGCCCAAGAGGAATACCTGGAGAACAAGGGGAAGGTTCTGCTGCTTACCTGAGCAATACTGCCAGCTCTCCTGGCATGTTTGCCGAACTATTTTCCACTCACTTTTGCTGCCCTTTCATTTTCATTCTGGGCTTTCACATTGGTGGGGTAAGGCAGAAGGGACTGATTGCAGTAACTACATGGAAAAAAGATACCAAGTAGGTAAGTAAGGTCTTCTGGAAAAGCAACCAGATCTTAAAGGGCCAGTGCTGAGAGGATGCTGCTCCCACCAGCAGCTCCTGGTCCTCCCCCAGCCAGAGCCTGGGCTCTAGCATGTGCAAGGTTTACCTGCTTTGCTGTGATTCAGGGAAAGCAAAGATGAGACATTAAAAGCCTGTGCAGAGCAGGGGGTGGTGCCGATGCCATTTGCTTGCCTACCCTGAGGATACAGAGAATTACTTCAAACCACAAGGTTCAAATACAGGCACTGCTTGGGACTATCAGCTGCTGTTCAACTCTTCATCTTCCCATGGAAATCATCCAGCTGGGAGCAAGAAATGAGGGCAGCTGGGAAACATAACATCCTTTCTTTTAAGAAGGACATGGAGTTGTTTGAGCAAGCACAGAGGGGCCACAAGGATGATCAGTGGCTGGAGCACCTCCCGTATTAAGACCGGCTGAGAAAGTTGGTGCTGCTCAGGCTGGAGAAGAGAAGGCTGTGTTGAAACTTCAACAGGGGAAGTTCAGGTTAGATATAAGGAAGAGGGTGAGGCACTGTGAGGGTGCTGAGGCACTGGCACAGGTTGCCCAGAGAAGCTGTGGCTGCCCCATCCCTGGCAGTGCTCAAGGCCAGGTTGGACACAGGCTTGGAGCAAGCTGCTCCAGTGGAAGGGGTCCCTGCCCATGGCAGGGGATGGAACTGGGTGAGCTTTG